AATATGGTTCAAATATAGAACCGTAGAATGAAGTTTAAGAGGGATTATAACGTGGTTCAACCATAGCATTGCAAGATGAATGCTAAGAAAATGATAACGAGATTCCACCAAAGCAGCCTGTAATAAAGTTTAATATCAATGACAACGTACGTGGTTTTACCATATCATCGTGTTATGAAATTTAAAAATAATGATGACGTGTTTCAGCCATAGCATGGTATAAGAAATTTAAGAATGATACCGTGTTTTAACCATAGCACAGTGTTATCTAGTTTCAGAAAATGATAACGAGGTTCTACCATCGCATAGTCAAATAAAGTTTAGGAATGATATTGCGGTTTAAAGACTGCATCGTGCTATGAATTTTAAGAAAAATGATAACGGACTACAAATTAGCCCCATATTAATGTGGCGACAAATTTGAAAAATAATTATGGAACAGTCAGATGCAAAATTCCCTGCTTGCTAGTAAGAATGGGATATGTATATATATACATATACATAGGAAGAGAATATCAATGTATATTTCTTTCTAATTAAAGATGTTACACTATAATTTATCAATCACTATAATTTTAAAAAAATGTCTGTGACACCAAAAAATAATTTAACTAGCATTTAAAATTAAATTAAAATCATTTTGGGATAATTTTTGCTCTAAAACATTTTTTTCTGTTTCTTTAACTGAAACAATACTTGTATAATCTAAAACATGTCGTCAATACTCAGCACCAATTAAAAACGAATTTAAACTCCAACCAACGAACATATAATTGCATGCCTTATAATATCAGTTTCCCTTAATAAACATGCAAATGCAAACTGATGAAAGTTTAGAATTAGAAATGAACTATTGTATAAGTTAACTAAATTTAAATGCAAAACTATTCTGAGAAATTGGACAATACTTTTTTTAAGAATGATTATAATAGTTTAGAGATTTTAAAATAGGAAATCAATTCCTAAACTTGACGCAAACTAATTCAACGAAATTGGTTAGCATTCTAAATTTTCCCGAGCTTCATCAAGAATGCGCTTAACATATGAGATTTTTAAAATGTACGTTCTGTCTCAAATATATTAAATTTGGCATAAGTTTTTGTATGAAATTGTTTAATCGTTATGAAATCATCGTAAACTTGTTTTTTCTTTAAATTACTGGTTTTTGTTGGTGTAAATATTCAGGTAATTATCTAAAAACACATAAAAAAGTTTTTGTAAGAAAGAAATATAATAAAATATTAATATTTCAACAAAAATAAAGGCAAAAATTTCCATATAATGTTATTCCAAATCAATTACGTAAAATAGCTTAAAAATAATGATGATAAAAGCTCAAAAAAGAAAGAAATATGCAGTAAAAATATTGCAGATGCATTATCAGAAAAATGCAATTTGAAATTGGATCAGATTACCAAAATCAGATACATTACATCAAATATATAATATATATAAGTATATCATTCTTATCAGATACATATCAGTTATATTAGATATATCATTTTTAAGTACGAAATTAGTTATAATTTTAAAAAAAGTCATACTAAGCATTTCTGGTTGTTTTTGACTCATTAATTCTAAAATAGAAGAAGAAAATTATTTTTATTAATTTTATTGTCATTATACTTTATAGTTGCTGTCAGTTCCTCTGTTTCAAAATATACCACGAATATTAAATATATTAGATATTTAATAGTAGTTATCATTCAATTTTATTTTATTTAATAAACGTCGTTGAACAGCAGACCCAATCTTGGGCTTACGACTACTAATGCTCATTTCCGTTGCCTTGTAATTTCGAACCCAATCCTGAAGACAAGGGAACTCCTAGATCAAGTATTGGGAGAAATGTATTTTCGTGGAGGACTTTTTGATTAAATAATCCCCCATTTGCATTGCATGGAGAGGAAAACCGTGAAAACCTCCCATGGTCAGCTTGACCACAAAGGAAGTGTAACCCGTGATTTGCCTACAATTGAGGATATTTTACGTCATCACTGTGGTCGGTGCGAGCCGGATGCGGAATTCGAATCGACCAGCCATCGGTAAGATTCTAACCCGGTTCACCTCATTAGAAGGCAAACGCTCTTTCCCCCGAGCCACAACGACTCTCATATTTCAATCATAAATAACTTCTATTTTTACCTGATTTTGGACACTTCATAATCCTTAATCTCAGAATTTTCACCGAATCAATTTCAAGTGATGTTAAAGCTCCTTTAATCATTTTAGAACATGTTTTTTTTTAAAAAACATTTCAAGAATATATCTCAAAAACTACTTAATATAACTGTTAAAATATCAAAGACATAAAATCTATGTTATTTTAACTAAATATCAGGGATAGAAAAATAAATTTTAACTAGTTTTGAAATTTCAATATTTCAATATTTCAACTAGTCTTCAAATTTAGAAAAGTTGAAAAAAGAAGCAAAATATTTCGTATAAAATATATGTTAGATATACATTTTGAGTTACAACAAGGTATTAAACAGCTCACAAATAATATATATCTTTGCTATATAC